GGGGGCGCGAGATGGACTTAAAATTGAACTATGTGAAAATAAAACCAGAAATTGAAGTTGTAATTTTTTAAAAAAAATATGGGACGCTTCACGAATTTGTGTGTCATCCTTGCACAGGGGCCATGCTAATCTTCTCTGTATCGTTCCAATTTTAGTATATGTGCTGCCGAAGCGAGCACTTGAAGTTGGAAATTTTGTTGTACAAATTCAGGTCACATGCCTAAAACAACTTCAAAAAGAACTTGGCAATTCAATCTTTTGTTAAAGAAATTAATCCTGTATCTGATGGATCCAATCAACTATTGCACTATAAAAACTATCTACATAGATTAAAGGGATAGAGTTAGAATGAAAGGAAGTCTTCAAACAAGCAACCATCTCAGGGAGGAATCAACCAGGCCCCAAAAGAAGAAGCACACCCAGCCGGTGTGATGGCCAAGGTGTCAAGATTTCAAAGGGTGAAGCAGTAGTTTTCCAGTGTTAACTGCTATGGTAAGTCATATCAACTCAGTGGCCCAGGCAGATGGAACATCTATGCCATTTTGACCCAGCTTTATAAAATTGTTGTTGTTCTAACCAGTCTCAAAGTTGTACTGTAGTCTGATTCTTGTTCTAATCAATCTTCCCTTTTGTCCTCTTTCAAAGGTATCAGATGTACACTATACTTTGAAGGCTCTCAACACCTCTATGTGTAATTTCTCCCAACAATTCTTCATAAATCCTTCCCTAATAAATTCTTACATAATTTAGTCTTGGTATCAGTTTCTTTAACGATTCAAATGATCATGCAGAATTTTGAGAAGCAAAATCAGACATTTAGAGCACCATCGAAATATAAAAATCTTTTGTGCTCTTCAAAAATTACAATTAATAAGTTTTATTAAATAACTAGAGAATGAATTATATCCAAGACATTTATTATGTGAAAGAAAAACTTATTGTTTGATTTACTGAAACTTAAAATATTCCACTGAATTGCACAGGAAAATCAAGGTAGCAGAAATGGAAATATGTCTATTCTTGCATGTGGTTTCATTTTAATGTGCTATTTAAGTAACTTTAGTTTTGAGAACCTAAATGAGAGCGCAAGTACACAAAATAAGTCCGAAGTGCTGAGGTAGGTAACTTTGCAACAACATGACTGCACAGGTGTTTAAGGTTAAATGTCCCTAATACTGTGAGATTTCAACACTTGATTAATCAATCTAGTTTGAACTTTCAGCCCAAAGCAACATATCATAAATATACCAGAAGAAAACACCTTCACAGTGATTTTGTGTTTATTAGGGATGGTGTAAGATAGGGAAAAACTGACTGACCACATTCATAGACACATGTTAGACCTCTGCCGTTGTCGGGAGTACAGAAACATACACAGTCTTCATATTCAAAGTCTTCATGGAGATATCCTCTGTAATTTCTAATAGAAATGGAAAGAAGATATTTAAAAAAACCCAATGTTCTGTCTATTCAAGACAAATACTACTTTAACCATTAAATATTTCCTCCACTTCACCCAATGACATTTCTTATACCCATAAAAAAACCGGCCTAGTAGCAATGCCAACCCAGTAGCAATGAGTTGCACCTACATTTCATAGTCTATAAATGGAGGAAGAGTTGTTTCCAGTGTAAAATACATAGTAAGCCTATGCTAGAAGGTGTTTATCAAAGATTCAAGAGATGATGTCAAATCAATTTAACAAAAATGGCTAATATGAATAAACAAAAAGAGCAGCCTAGACAGTGTAAGAAAAGAAATAATATTAACAATATATAATTGGAGGTGTGGGGGACGGAGGGGAAAAAAGAACATATAACAAGGACTCAAATAGAAAATGTTTTGGAAATGATGGCAACATATGTATGCTTGATACAACTGATATATGGAATATTATAAGAGCTGTAAGAGCCACCAATAAAATTAAAAAACAAACAGAAAATAGCTGAATAAACTACACCAAATAGATAATTACTAAAAATGAAAGCAAAACAGACAGAAGAGAAAGTGATTGACTAATTTTTTTACTTTTTAAAAATTTTATTTTTTTAATCATTTTATTGGGGACTCAGACAATTCCTATCATAATCCATACATACATCCATTGTGTCAAGCACATTTGTACATTTGCTGCCATCATCATTCTCAAAACATTTGCTTTCTACTTGAACCCTTGATATAAGCTCATTTTCCCCATCCCCCCTCATGAACCCTTGATAATTTATAAATTATTATTTTGTCATATTGACTAACTAATTTTAGTTAATTGCCTACTATGGGGTATTTTGCTTCTAGCAAATCCTGAATTCAAAGTAAAGAATCAGCTATCTACCCAGTCAGTAATCCTTACAATGAAAATACTCCTAAACTGCCTCTTTAATAATTAAAAGAGGCCTGGAAACCGTATTTAGAGTCCACTGGAACAGGGAACAAAAAGTTTTCTTAAAATTTTAAGCAGGGGACTTCCAGCAAGATGGCCACTGAGTAACACATACCAAAGGGTCTGCCCAGAAATTGGCGCAGGAGAGTTACTAAGAGGGAAATTCCACACTTCTGGGTTGCAGGAGGAGCTTCATAAAGGTAAATAGGAACAGATCCACTAGGTTTTGAGGAGCTGGGGAATTTTGACTTACCACAGTAGACGCCGGCTAGTTTGACCTTAGCCCCGCTACTGTCTCAGCTGGAAGCGGGATCATTTGGAGCAGGCCTATGGGCTTTATCTCAACACATCCAAAGCTTGCTGCCAACTAAGGCCATGGTTTAAACCCTTCCAGCCACACAGCCAGGGATCGGGGCTCAGCTATACTGTTAATTTTGTTTCCCTCTATTCTCTCTGTCCCACCAAGTCTCAGAAGGCTGTTTTTCTTTTCGCTTTTCTCTCACATGCCACTCTCCACCTCCAGGCCACACCCCTTAGCCTAGGGCATTTATGCCTGCTCTCCACCTAGCTGGGAGAGCCCCATCCTCTGCAGCATAACCTGAGGCTGGGGAAAGTCAGAGCACCATCCTCCAGGGGAACGTCAGCCCACACTATTCTGGGGGGAAATCCCACCCACCTTGCTCCAGGGTAAATCCCGCCTAATTTCTGTGGGAAATTCCACCTGCCCACTGCAGTGCTTAACACTGTGGCTGGGGAAATCCCACCCACCTTCTTCTGGGGGAAATCTTGCCTGCATACTGGGAGAGCAACTACCTGTTCTCTGTGGTATCATGTGACTGAAGGAACTTCCTCCCTCTTGCCTTAGTGCCTCACACAGCCTAAGGCATCACTAGCCAATGCTCCACGCTGCTGTGGGGTACTCTGCCCAACCTCCCCAGCAATCTACTTGACCAGGGAAATCCCACCCACCATTTGTGGTTTTACACCAAAGTGGGCACACCCACCAGCCTTCTGTGGCACTCCTGCTGTAGCAGTGACCCCAGCACACCCAATGCAGTGTCCCTCGCTGCCGTAGGCCACGCCATCACGGACAACCACCCAACCAGCATCCCCTGAGAGAACCATACAACTTGCCCTACAAATAATAAAATACTGGTTGACTAGGGAAAGAGTGAAGCCACAGGTGGAAAAAGCGGTAGGCCAATTCCATAGTGCAATTAGCTGCGGGCAGTTTGGAGAAGCATTCCTACAAGTCTCCAAGAAAGAGCCCAGTGCTCTTCAACTCTGGAAAATGGCACCTGGTGCCTCTGAAAAAAAACAACAACAAACCAACAAAACACACACACACACACACACACACACACACACACACACACACACACACACACACACAATGCAAACAGCAATCAGTCACCCGGACCTCAAAAAACAAACCCAGGAGAAACAAAAGGCAATGTCAGAAGATGTCCTGAACCTAACGATGTGCATAGAGGAAAACAATACTGAAAAAGGATTAAATGATAGAGGAGATAAAGACCATACACCAAAGGGTAATACAAGAGCTTAGGGACAAGAGGACAAAATCCAGTAGCAGACTCAGGGACTTCGTCAACCAACTGGGGGAGGCAAAGAACCGCACCAGTGACCAAAAGGGCAGCCAAGGAGGCTTTAACAAACACAGAAATCTAATAAGATCATCAGAGAAGGTGAAGAAAACCTAAGAGCGATGTGTGATGCTATGAAGAGGAACAACATCACAATAATTGGATCACCGGAGGAAGACACAACAAAGACATCATCTGCAACAATAGTGAAAGAATGCTTGGAGGAAAACTTCCCCAGCTTACTGAATGAAAACCAGGCAACCATTCAGGAGGCTGAGAAAGCACCAACTAGAATGAATCCCAAGAAGTCACTAAGGCACATAATAAACTATCAAACATTGAGGAAAAGGAGAAAATCATGACAACAGCTAGGGAAAAACAAGCAATCACATATAAAGGTTCCCAAATAAGAATAGCTCAGACCTATCAGTGGACACTATGAAGAAGAGGAAAGTGTGGAGTAATATATTCTAAAAATTAAAGGAAAATAACACAAACTCAAGAACACTCTATGCACCCAAATTATCTATCAAGATACATCAAGAACTAAGAGTCTTCCCAGACAAGGAAAAACTCAAAGAATATGTTAAAAGAAACAGCCCTACAAAAGATCCTTGCCGACCCAATATGGGCAGAAGAACAGCATTCACTAAGCACAAGTAAGAGGCCAGCACATAGAACAACCCCATCCAGAGGAAAACAGCTCTCAAGATAGCATTGGCTTAAGGGTGGAAAGAAGTCAAGAATGACTGCACACACACATAACACACTGATGAGAAAGGGAGGTAGGAAAACACTCAAGACAAAAGATATAAGATGGCATCAGAGTTCACAGATGGATTTAATAACCCTGAATCTCAATAGACTGAACTCAGGAATTAAAAGACTGAGGGTAGCAGATTGGCTTAGAAAACACAACCCATCAATCTGCTGCCTATAGGAGACACAACTCAAAACTACACACAAAAATAGGCTGAGAATCAAAGGCTGGAGAAAAACATAACACACAGACAGCAATTCAAAAAAACCAGGGGTTGCAATCTTAGTATTGGATAAAACTGACCTCCAAGTGCAAACCAGAAAAAGAGATAAGGAGGGACACTATATAATGCTCAAGGGAATGGTAGACAATGAACCACTGAGCATTTTAAACATGTATTTCCCGAATGAGAGACCCACTGTATGTGAACCAAAGGCTCTAAAGGATGAAAAAAGAAATCACAGGCTCAACAATTATAGTAGGAGACAATACACAGCTCTCTGAGAACAACAGATCACAGGGAAAGAAACTCAACAAGGAGGCTAGAAATCTAAACACCACAATTAGACAATTTGACCTGATAGATATTTATAGAGCTCTTCATCCAAATACAAGAAGAAAATAAGGGCAAACAACTGGAGGATGAATAACTCTCTATTCCAAAAGGAGTGTGTACTGGCCCAGATTAGAGATGAAATTAGGAAATTTCTAGAAACAAATAAGTACAAGACGTACCAAAACATATGGGACACAGCAAAGGCAGTTTTCAGAGGAAGTTTCATAGCAATACACGCACACATGAAAAAGGAAGAGAGACTTAAGACTGATACGCTGGCACAAAATTTACAGCAACTAGAGCAGAGTCAACAGGACAATCCTACTAATAGCAAAAGAAAAGAAATAATAAAAATCAGGGCTGAGATATAGGAGAGGGAAAAAAGAAAACTGGAAAAAAATTGATGCTGCTAAAAGTTGGTTCTTTGAATGGATAAACAGAATCAATAAAC